CTTGAAGACACAAACAAAAGTGGAGTACTGCAACCGCAGCTGGGCTGTTCACTGTGTCCTCGACAATGAATAGAGTCCCTCTCTATTGGTCCCTCTAACTCCTTCTAGTTAAGCTGGAGGAGTTGGAGGCTGGAAATGTTAGCAGTGGTTGTTTTGGAGTGCTTTTCTGTTTCACTCCTGTTTGTCTTTGCTTTAGCACATGTAGCCTCTATTAGGCTCTTTATAGAAACAAAACATCAATATCAGGCTGTCACACTGGCCTAAAGCTTCAATCCTGTTTCTTTCATATTGAAGACACTGGTAGATTGACTGGCTCGAATACTTATGAAGGAGAACAGTATTAGCACCGGCCTAATGTGCCATTGGGTTTTTACCATTTTAGCGTTAAAACAGCTCTAACCTGTTGAGGCCTGGGCTCCAACGGGACCTTTAAAGGTGCTCTGTGGTGTCACGCACCAAGATACCAGCAACAGAACCCTTAACTCCTGTAAACGGAGAGGTGGAGTTGCTGCGGATCAGACTTGTTCGAGCACTTACCCTTAGACTCGGTTGCTGGTTTAGGATCTGTTGACAAGTATTCGCCATGGCCGAACGGGAGCGCTCCGGGAGCCTTGCCCACTCGGAGATGATCCAAAACAACGATCTGGTATTTGTCAAAGTTTTTTAAACCATTAAAGGTGGTTTATTAAAACATAGATTACAAAAAACAACTTACCGCCATGAAGCGTGACTACAGACGCTTCACCCAATCAGCGCTTGTGATGTCGAAACCGATCGGCTGCCATGGCAGCAAAACATACACACGCACGCATACAAACAACACAGACGTGAAAATGTAAAGACCAGTTTTAAAATATACGTATTATTTTACACTCTGGTGTTACAGCTCTCATGATATTGTAATCTGTGTTTATATATACTGCCTGCTTAGCGCTACCTAAAAAACAAAGCTAAGCTAACTCTTAGCCAAACAACACTAAACATATTTGGTTTGGAGGGGGATTAGCACAAATATCTAGCTTTAGCTAATAAATTAAACACTCTATTTTTTGATGTTTAGCTGGTTGGTGAATGGTTGCTGCCAATCACTTTCTAATTGATTGCCAAGCCCCATTCACACAGGACTAGAGACCTGCCACTAACACCAGTAACCACCGTTTCCTAAGGGATACTGTGTCAATATCAGCATTTTAAAGCCTTTAACTTTTTCATTGACAATAAATGCCTCAGAATATCTGACTATACATGTCACTTCCTGTCTTTGCAGTCAAACGGAGCCACAGCAGATCCATTACTCCCACAGCGATGGCCAGTACCCAGGGGGTAGCAGCTCGGTCTCTGTCGCTACCATGCCTTTTCACCCCGCCCTACTGGAGCATTACCTGCCGCAAGTCCCGCCCATCCCTCGCAGAGCTGAGGGACAGACCACACCCACCTCTCTGCCTAGGGAGAGAGAGCGGGAACGCAAGAGGGAGCGACCGCCATACAGCGAAGGAGAGGAAAGTGATGGGGGAGAGAGGAGTGAGGGGGAACTGGTGCTCCTTACGGACTAAAGAAAGGCAACTGGTAGAGGACCCAGGAAAAGGAAAATTAAAGATGAGGGATAGGATGAGAGGGGAGGGTAGCTGAGGTGGGCGGGTTGCTCTTTGATGAATGGCAGTCAGAGAGGAGGAATGGAGGATGAACTAAAGAAATGGTGAGGGAGTGTGTGAAAGGGGGAATAAAAAAGTAAACGTCATACTCACCCCGTTGTAAATTAGCCTGTTCTCCAGTAAAACCTCGCCTACACAAACGCATAAAGGCAAGCTTTTATCATTTCCCTTTACACGTATCATGTCATCACATGCTTTGTGTCAAAACTTTGGAGTTATATTTATGAAGATTTATCGTTTAATCCCTTCTGCTTCTTGTTTTCTCCCCATGTTGACTTATGGCAAACAAAATGCCCCCACAGGGACTGGAATTAAAGCAGATTGATGAAAAGTTCAGCAGAGTACCTGTTTCCTCCTGTCAGACAGCTGAGGATCAGCCACTCTGGGGTTCAGTATGTCAGCTTTGCCACCTGCTGGAGAAGAGTGGTTATTACTACTGTTGCCACACATCCTATTTAAGTTACACCACAAATAAAACTGGAGGGATAAAATAATTTGGTGATTAAAGGTGCATTTCAGCAGTTTTGGTACTGTGTGCTTTACGAGATTAAAAAAATAATGGTCATATTCTGTAACAGTTGCCTCGGGCCATAGGATGGTTCAAGAATAATATAAAGGCTATAAAAAATATATATCCTATATGCACACTGCCACTTAAATGTGTGTGCGTTTGTAACTCAGGCTTTATGTTAGAAATGTTCAGTCTTTAAGCTCATCGCTGCACACAAATGTGATGCACTAAAAGTAAAGGATAAACAGCTCTACAAAGCCTGCAGGAGGCTGAAACAGCAGGTAGGGCAGCAGCAGTATTAACATGTCAGGGGGAGAGATTCAGTCATGTGGCCAGCAGACGCTGCTGCTACCTTCCCTGAGTCTGTGCAGTGAGCGTTGAGAGTGCTAACTCTCTCTCTCTGACTTTGCTTAGTGTAGCTAACGACAAAAAGCACAGATTGTGTTTGGCACTCTCTTATTCTGCATTTGCACCAGTTGGAGAGTTAGCATGAAAGGTTTATCTCAACAATCCTTCTCCCCAAATTTGCATGATCCATGTTCGATCTGAGCTATCAGCCTTTCTACACATCCAATTGGCAGTTGTTGCAGATCTGCAAGTCACTTTGCAACCCACCTTTCCACAGGATTCTCCTTATATACTGAATCTGAACTAATCCACTGTCATATCTGCCGCTCTGTTGTGCACAGGGCCCTCCCATCTCTGGCTTTCTATGTATGGAGTGGAAGGGCGTCCCAGAATAGTGACATACCATATATAAATATATATACGACAATCTTTTATGTGTATAGATTTATATAGCACCAGCCAAAAGCTTTCTGGTCGGACAGGCCTTGTTGCCCAAACGTAACGTACAATTAATCAACACTGCAACCTCACCATCATCCTCCCACATCTCACTGTTAGTTTGAGCCATGCTGCTGTCATCGTGTGTCCATCAGTGCCCTCTCCACAGCATGGTGGGTTAACTTCAGTCAAGCCTATTTTTTTATACCTCTGTTTGCTTCTTTGCATGTTTACTGGATGTCGTGTTGAACACCTCGTATCTGTGTATCCAAATGTCTGCTGTGTTTTTCTTCTGAGATGCAGCCTCTCGCAGCATTATTATTATTATTATTATTATTATTATCATTATTATCACTATGCTTTTTTTTTATCTTTAAAAATGTTTGTCAATTTCATCTAAAAAGGCTAAAGTATTTCCTTTCATCGTCTTTTACGTTCCTGTTCCTGTAACAGAGAGATCATCAGAGGCAGATCATCCCCAAAACTGTGAGGCTGTGTCCCTAATCACTGCTTCTCTCCTGCCTTAGATCTGTTATACACAGCAGTCAGCAGCAGGTTTTTGGACAACTGACCTTCATTTTGCATTGTTGAGTAGTGCAATGCCATTTAACACACACTCATACACATATCTGTGTGTGTGTGTGAGTGTGTATGATGTAAACTGAGAGTGCAGTATAGAGTAATTAGGGAGTGGTTTTGGACACAGCCTGTGCCTCAGATTGGAGAGAGAGCTGTTGTTTATTGGTACAAAACCCCCATTTCCTTATGATGGGAACAAATGTTTATCTATAAAAATTTATATATAATATTACCCAAAGCAAAAGGAAGGTAGATTTAGCAATGAGAACTCCAGACACCACAATCATCCCTGCGTCCTTAGTAACGTTTACTCCTCATAAGCACTTACTAGTGTGTATTCTTTAACAAGTTTAACATGCTGAAAAAGCAAAACTAGGTTTTCTGCAGTTAGTCTGCATGTAAAAGATGGACTGGGACTTTACCCATTTGTTTTGCACTTGTGACTGATGCCATATTATTTTTTTTAAATTAGTAATTAGCTAACGCTAATGCTAATGCTACAAATATGTACAGGTGTAACTGACCGCTTAACACTGCTTAACTTAAAAGAAACAAACATGGTGGCTTGAATTAAGTGGCATTCCTAAACAGCCATCAACTACAGCTTCATGTCAATCAGTGTGGCCACACCCCAAACTTATTTCCTTTGTAATGCTAGTAATTTGGGTCTTTTAATGTGAAAGCATGTGGACTGACTTGCTTTTGGAGAAATGCTAACAGTAGAAGCTTTGCATACTCCCTCTATTCCTAAATCAACAGAATGAAGACAAATCTGTCTTTTTTTAAAATACCTTAAACCCGTAACTGTTTAAGTAGCAGTAGTAAAGGTTAGTAAAGATGTTTTAATAGATGCGTAGAATAGAATGCGTCACAAATGTAGCAGCTCTATTCTTTGATCCGCTGAATAAACTAAAGCTCGAAATAGACTTGCTACTTCCTGGCGACCCAAGGATAATTAAACTTTTAGACCCAAGGATAATTTTGGTGCCTTTGTTCTCATCACTCAGTGACCTTGTTGACTGAACATAAAGTTTGTGCGACTGGCTCAATCCTTCATTGGCTCACTGCAAAGTTGACAAATCAAAGTGGCAGACCTCCTTGGCGTTGGGGCTCGTTGTAAGGATGCTGGCTTTTGTGTACAGAGATGGATATCAATGACATGTTTAAAATGTTTATCCTATTTTAGTGAGACATGATGAGGAGTCACCTGTCGTTAACCCCTGCTGATGTAAATATAGAAAGAGACTTTATTTTGTTTATAAGAGCTTGTGTAATTTAAAGGTGTACATTTCTCTATGTTTTCACAGTTTTGTGCTTTTTTGTTGTTGTTTTTTCAAAAGATATTAAAATTGCTTGTGTTAATTGTGTCTGGTGTGACTTTTTTAAACATATATATATATACATACACATATTAGGGGTGCAACGATACACAAAATTCACGGTTCGGTTCGTTCGATACTTTGGTGTCACGGTTCGATATTTTTTTGATACAAAAAAATGTTCATGCTTTTTTAATTTGTCATTTATTAAAATTATAAATATATATTTTAACTCAAAAGTACAGTTTTTAAATTTAATGTTGCTGAAACAACAAAGTAATAAAAATAAATCTATCTGATCGAGAAATCACTCATCTTTGGAAAAGAGAGTTTATTACAGAGAAATGTCTCTTCTTCTTCAGAAACATTTTGCTCTTAGTCTGTCTGAAAGAAATTTCAACCAATCAAAAGTTGTCACATGTAATTCTGGGGCTCTGAGTAAGCGAAGGTCAGGATGAGTGGCTGTCATATTTTAGTAGACTCCTGCTTGCTCCAGTCTGTGTATAGGTGGACGTAAACACACACAGAAACAGACTGGCATGTTTTTTTTTTGTTCGTTTGTTTTTATTATCTTTGAGAAGACATTTATTGAATTAATACAAATTCCTTTAACCAGCTCCACCATATTCTGATAGATAGATGCCAATTTATAGAAAATTATAACAGTTGAAGCCATTATATATCATTCAAACTGCATCAGCCTAGAATTGAGTCTGCAGTGTGTTCGGTAGTGACTGCTCCTTTAGTGTGCCAGTGTCGCCATCTGCTGGACAGGACCAGTGTGGCTGCCAGCTAAATACAGTCGCAGCTTGTTACCAACTGCAGTTGCTGAGAACACAAGAAAGCCCCTTTTGGGCTCTCACATTGTTTCCTCTGATTTTCTTGTTGCTGTCTGTCTCTTTCTTGCCAGTGTCAATGCTCACTCATGAGTTCCAGCCTCAGTGTTCAGTCAGCCTGCATGCCTGACATTCATCCAGACACCAACAGCTATGAAATCACTGTCTACTGTTCAGTATGTTGGAAAACAGCATCAGTGTCCCTGCAAGATCCTTCAGACGTCTCAAGTCTTTAATTCAAATCAGTTCAATTCCGTTTTATTTATACAGCACCAAATCCCAACATCAGTTGCCTCAAGGCGCTTTATATTTTTTAAAAAAATATTTTCTTCAAAATGGAAATCAGATTATTATTTTCCTTTCTAAAAAAAACCCAAAAAAGGTTAAATTGTTACTTAAAAAGTATAAGTTTTATATAAAAGCCGATCTGGGGGGATTTCTTTGTATACAAGTAAATTTGCAGGTTTAAACTGTAACTTTTCCTCTTTTAGTGGAAGTGGGCCAAAATTCCTTCGTAAGGACTCGAGAGACTGAGACAAAAAAAACATTTACATCGAGTCGTTGCTGCTTTGACAAACTGTTGAATCGTAGGACCATTTTTTTTATTCTTTAATTTATTTATTTTTTACACGCTGTTTCTGCATTTCTGCTTTATTTTTGCTAAATAAATAAAGACAGGGCATAATATATAATGAGTTGCTGTTGTTCACCTCAGACTGTTTTTACCGACTTTTATGACCTGGTACAGACTAGATCTTTTTTTATTATGTCCTGATGATAAGCAAAACCTTTTAGGTGGTACAGGGTGTGCGCTC